GTGTTCAATTGTAGTCTGTTATCAGTCGTCATAAATCTGAAATCGGGAAACAACATATAGATAGAGAAAATGATTAAAATCCATGTCTCAGTTTATACGATATCTAGAATGGAGGAATATATGATCCCTTATCTAAAGGACACACTTCTGATAAGATTGGAGTTGACAACGACTTTTGAAAGCTACGATTAATGATCAGGTTCTGAAATCATGCAAAATAGTTATTAGACTTATCCAAGTGGGAGACTGTTAGATTAGTGTCTAAGTCCATAACTATTTTGGTATGTACTTGACCCGATTATGAGCATGTTCCTTTTGGGTTGCGTTCATCATAGCAACTTGTAGGATGAATTGTGGAGAAAGAGATTAATTATGATTTATTAATATATTATATATATTAAAAGAGAAATCATATTATTTAAGTAGCATTAGTCAAGAATTAATAAGAATTAATTTTGTGGCTAAAAGACATTAATTAAATAAAGGGGGCTAGAACTGTCAATTGTGTGATAGTTGGATATTGGGCTAATGGACTCCATAGAGGTTCAAGTGGATGAAATCTATGGGAAAAACCATGAGAATTATTCCAAGGCCTTTAAGGAGGGAGTCCATGGCTGCTTAGGGCCTAAGCAGTCAGATTAGGGTTTCCTAGTTCAAAACCCTAATAGCCTCACTATATAAAGACTCCTGGGGCACCCAAAAACGTAGCTAAGCATTCCTTGGAGTTTCTTGGACGTTTTCGATGCCTCCTTTTCCTCTCCTAAGTCATCCTCTTACTCTTGGTGTTTGTGAGACATTAGAGGCGTGACACTTGTGACACTAAGCTTTCAGAAGCCAATTACAAGATGGAATAAATAGTTATTGCGATATAACAATCAAAGGTAATATCTAAACCCTAATTTCGATTATAGTATATTAGATCTAGGGTTTATGAGCTTTTGATAACTTGGATGTACAATTAGATAAACCTAGATCCAAAGTTTTAGGGTTTTCCATGTGCACCATAGGATTGATGTAGTGCTCATAACCCATCATTAACCCAAGAGCATAAGAAATATGAAGGGTCATGGTGCATTAGAGTTTGCATGGATGAAACCCTAGCCTTTGTTATACTATAAAAGCAACCCCTAGCCCCAAAATCGGTTGCCCATTCATTCTAAGAGAGTGCCAATTGATTTTGAGCTAACTAGCTTACTCTCTCAAGACTCCTTTTCCATTTTGTGTTTGTGACACATTAGAGGCATCACACTTAAGGTGCTAAATCTTTCTAAGGCCAAGAACTACAAACTACATCAAAGGGTATTCATCTAACTTGGTTTTTATGTTCTATATCCTCTATTGTATGCTAGTAGGATGAATGCTTAGGAAAATTAAATTGCATATATAATTAGATAAAACTTAGATCCAAAGCATCTAGGTTTGCATGTGCATCATATGAGTGTTATGGTGCTTAAAACCCAATTATAAAGTGGTTCTTATATGTTGTTGTGACTTGGGTACTTACCAAAGGTTTCAATAGTACTCCAGATTTCCTTTCATAATCCCTCTCAACTGCACTATTGTCTAAAATTTCAATTGATGGTTTCTTTAACTTGAAGATAATCACAAAATATGAGCACTTCTAACAATTGGAAAGAATACATGTTTTTTATGTATATAATGGTAAGTATTTTGTTTATAAAATATATATTAAAAAACAATTTAAATTAACATATCATGTCAACTTCTTTTATGTTCAAGATTTTTTTTTTGTACCTATCAGTGCTATCATGAAAGTTCTCCTTGAATTTTTCATACTTTCTTTCATAAGACAATGTTGAAGATATATAAGCATTCTATAACCAATTTTTTTTTAAAGGATTAGTAAGTTTTTAATCATAAATGAATATATCATATTGGTATATAAATCATAAGTGAATAAAAAAGATATTTATTTTTGATTTTTATATTCATAAATGAATACATCATTTTGTTATAATCGTATATGAATTTCCTTTACATATACATAATTATCTTAAATGATACTAAATAAATCTAATATTCATAAATGAATACAACATATCTTTATATTCATTTATCAATAAAGAAGAAATTAATGTTAGAATACGAACTTACAGAAACTTCAACTTTCAAGAAAAGTTTGTACGGTGAATTTCCGACATCCCTTCACAATTCTTGGTGGTTAAGTAAATCAGCCAAAGTGTCTAAAACTTCTGCAAAAACCTTCGTGTTTCCATATAAACTTTCAATAAATTCTATTTGTGATACCTGACCATATTTTGTCTATACATCACAATTCTACAAATATATAATCAAATGTCATATGTTATTATTTATATAATAATCATATATGAATATTTCTATAAAATAAAGTTACTTTTGATGTATTCCCTTTCAAGTTGAACAACCACTCACTGACAATAATCTCATGATGTGTCAGCTTAGATTTTGTGTCTATTGTCATGCATGTGTAAGGTGATTTGACAGCATCAGCCGGCTTCTTCGGTCTTGATTCATCCAGTTCATGCTTTGATGGTTCTCTTTCTATAGGAATTGCTACATAGATTGGATTTGGATTAAGAACAATTTTTTTTTTTTTGATAATCTAATCACAACCCTCTGATAGCCATCTTTGATTTATTTCTTTAATAGTGTGTTTTTTTGGTGAAGATTCATTGAATTTTTTACTTGAAGTTTGATCTGAATCTTGACCGAGACCTAGACTAAAGCTTGGACGAGTATTATCTTCATTTTTTGATTTTTTACTTGCTAGAAGATTTATCATATAAATAATTATATGTTAATTATAAACTCTATTTTTATATTTTATTTATATATGATTATTGATCATTTTAATCATATGTGAATTTTCAAATGTTTTTCCAAATTGTTACCTCCTTCATTTCCTTTTTTCTTCTTAGCTTCTCCTCCTTTTTCATTTTCATCTTCTAAATTTTCCTTCCCTAAAAGATACACAACATATAGGAATATTCATCTATATTCAAAATAACGCATTTCTTATTCATAAATGAATCTAAATATTTTAATATATTCATTTATGAATAAGTAATAGATAGCATTACTAATGAAGAAGTAATTCTATCTTTTACTTATTAATACATTAAAAGCATGTTATTAAAAAAAACCAATGCAAGCGTTATAATATATTAAGTTATGAATAAATAGTGCATATCATTACTTATGAACAAGTAAATACTATCTTTTTTATTTATAAATACTATCTTACTCACTTGTGAATAATCAATCTATTATACTAACTTATTAGTGAATCATCCATTTACCTTAGTAGTTTCAACTTCTCCTTGTTTATCTCCACCTCCATCATTTCCTTTAGTCTTATATATATATATATATATATATATATATATATATATATATATATATATATATATATATATATATATATATATATATATATATATATATATATATATATATATATATATATATATATATATATATAAACTTCTCAGGGGGTCACCCATCCCTGAATTGCTCTTGCCCGGGAACGCTTAACTGTAGAGTTCTTATAATATCTACTATCGTCATGACTTTAAAAAGCGTTGTGACAGAGAAGGTATCCACGCCATTTTTTAAGGAATGATTAGTTCTTATTTCCAGCCGATATGGAATTAGGTGCAGCTAACCTACCCGCCTTCAACCCCATTATAGGTTTTGACATCCCCGTTGAACACATTGACTCATGCCCTGGGTCTGATACCGTTTGTAACATCCCTCTTTGGTACGTATCACAATATTGTCCGCTTTGGGCTCCCGGCACGAAAACTTCTCAGGGGGTCACCCATCGCTGAATTGCTCTTGCCCAGGCATGCTTAACTGCAGAGTTCTTATGGGATCTGCTACCCTCGCGGCTTTAAAATACGTTATGATAGAGAAAATATCCACACCCTTTTTTAAGGAATGCTTAGTTCTCCTTCCTATCTGATGTGGGATTAGGTGAACCTAACCTGCCCGTCTTTTAAAGTGGGTTGAACCTGATCCCACATTGGCTTGGAAGGAGAATTAAACATTCCTTATAAGAGGGTGTGGATACCTTCCTTAATACGACACATTTTAAATTCGTGAGGATAGCGGATCCCATAAGAACTTTGCAGTTAAGCGTGTTCACGCGAGAGCAATCTAGGGATGGGTAACCTCGTGGGAAGTTTTCATATCGGAAGCCTAAAGCGGACAATATTGTGATACGTGCCAGAGGGGGATGTTAAAAATGATATAATATATAGGGCACCGGTCTATGTGTTCGACGGGGATGTCGAAACCTATAATGTGGGGTGAAGGTGAGTTGAATCTGATCCCACATCGGCTTGGAAGGATAACGGAATATTTCCTTATAAGGGGGGGTGTGGATAGCTTCCTTGATCCAACGAGTTTTAAATATTTGAGGGCAACATATCCCTTAAGAACTATACAGTTAAGTGTGCCCAAGCGAGAGCAACCCAGGGATGGGTGACCCCCTAGGAAGTTTTCGTGTCGGGAGCCCAAAGCGGACAATATTGTGATACATGTTAGAGTGGGATGTTGCAAATATTATCTTTTTTACTCATTCATATACTGTCTTATTCAGTTACGAATAAGCAATGTTATTACAAAAATCAATATAAGTATTGTAATATATTCACTTAATAGTGAATCATCCATTTGCCTGTATTGTCTCCCTTTCCTTTCTCAACTTCTCATCCTTGTTTATATACACCTTCTGAGTTTCCCATCCTTACAAGATTCATATCATATTATATATTAAGTATAATTAATTAATTAATTAATTATTGAATTTATAATAATATTTTTTATTTGTAAATAACTAATAATTTAATAGTAACATTCTTTTTATATTGGTGACCCTGGTAAAATTTTTATAAAATAAGTTTGTTATTGTGTATCAATATTTTTATTAAAAAGGTATATCAAAATTTACCTATATCAATATTATCCAAAATAGTTTTCATTTCAAGGTCATTCTAGATTTGATCTTCTTGACTATTTAAACTTGAAAATCCAATGCTAATGACATTATCCATAATGTTTTCAACGACTTTATCCAACAGATTTTGATTTATTTCATTTTGTCTACTAGTCTCTCCATCATTATAGGTTTCTTCAGTCTCCTCATCATTCTTATTTTCATTGATCTCTCCATCATTCTTTTTTGCTTCAGTTTCACCTTTCTTTCTTTTTTCAGCACCTTCTTTTTTATTGGTCTCTCCATCATTCTCTGCTTCCTTTCTATCAAACAAATAATCTACTTCTGGTTCAGGTCCATCATTATCATTGTCTTCTTCACCAATGCCCTTTTTATCTTCATTTTTTTTTTTCATGAAACTTTGTTATTGCATCATTAAGCTTTGAATTTAGCTTTTCCTTCATCCTTTCAAAACTATTAAGCATTTTAGATAATTTTGAATCATATGTCTATGTAATAAAAAGAAATATGATTAGAAATTAATATAATAAATTAGTGTAATCATATATAATTAACATATTCAAAATAATTACCTCAACATAATCATCTTCATCTTTATCACAATCACCGCCTTCCAGATATGTATCTCCTTTAACTTGTTCATTAATAAATTCTTTATTTAATTCTCCAATGCCAAATCTATCTATTGCTTGTTCAAATGTCTCTCGATATCTAATCTTCTCTGAACTCCAATAACAAATTGTTGGACGTTTACGTGTTACCGTTAGAGTTTCTGAGTGGATTTTAACAGCCTAGAACAATTGTAGATAAATGATGATGAATTCATATTCATAAATTTTTTTTACAAAATATAGTATTCTGAACAAGTAATGCAAAGCATTACATGTGAACAAGTAATACTATCTTTTACTTATTCATATATTAATATGTGTTATTCAGTTATGAATAATTAATATTATTAAAAAGTGAATATAAAAATTATGATATATTCACTAATGAATAACTTACCACCAATAAAGCTGAAGGTCCAACAATGTAGCTGGTATCCGAGTATGGTATGTATGAGTTCGTTGTTCTAACGAGAAGGTCCAAAACATAGTTGCACCAGTCTATGTTGTTGATATATGTTTTTCTTGAAATATAAGTTAAAGAGAACATGTTGCATCTTCCCATTGATGTTGACTCACAAAATGTGTTGACAAAAAGAACTAAGAAGTCAAATTTTAAATTATAATCAGCTTCTATGATACAAATAATAACTTTTTAGATTGCATTCAGTATAATGATTTCTCCTTCTTGAAATTGTTCCTTCCATTCATCATAATATGTATCATCTTTAGGCTATTGATCCAGTTGTGTAAGTATGGTTCCACTAGTTGGAATCCCCAACATGTCATGAACATACTATGCTGTTACTTTGAGTTCCTATCGCTCAACATCTATGACAATTCTTTCAAAATCAAATTTTTGAAGAATATAAAATCTCAGCTTCAGTGGTATATCGGTCATTTTCATTTTTAACAGACTTCCAAAACCTATATATCTTACACATTTTTTTTGTTTGATCAACCCAAGGATTATAGAGAGTAATGGCTCTGGTGAACATATGTTTTTAATTGAATAAAATTCCTTTACCACAGGCTTTTTCTTTTCTTTCTTAGTTGGTGACTTCTTTTTCTTTGGCTACTTTGATGGACGACTACTTTCAAAGTCAGAATCCGAAACATGTAGTTGTCTCTTTTCAGGAGTTTTTTTTGTTGGACTTTTTTTTTTGCTTTGATGCTTTGTTTTCTTTGCTACTTTTGTTTCTTTTTTTCTTAGTAAATGAAAACATATAATACTTGAATAAGGTGGAAGTATTCATATATGAATAGTACAAATATATAACAGGGATATATAAATTATTCATATATGAATGTCCACGTTAATTTATTGATATTTGAATAGTATAAAAATATAACAAAGATATACAAGTTATTTATATATGAATATGATATATATATATATATATATATATATATATATATATATATATATATATATAGGGTTAAGTTCAAATGAGAACACTATTTAATGTGAGAACGTGAGAACACTACTTTATGTTACTATTCTACTATGAATTTAATATGTATAGTATTGTAGTAATTATAATATGAATATATTCAATTTTATATTGCTATTCTACTATAAAATTTATATATATGTGTAGTAATTTAGTAAATTCTAGTGTGAATGTTAAATATGTGATTGTTCATATATTCGGTGATGAATAATATCATAAAGTTGTACATACAAAATTTTAATGTGAATATTAATGTGTGATTGTTCGTATATTTGTTGATGAATAATACCATATCGTTGTATATACAAAATTCATAGTAGAATAGTAACATAAAGTAGTGTTCTCACATTAAATAGTGTTCTCATTTGAACTTAACCCTATATATATATATATATATATATATATATATATATATATATATATACACACCGTATATAGTTATTCATATATGAATATAAGTATTCAATAGTTTTAAATAATATTACACATATCCAAATTGAAGTATTCATATATGAATAGAACAAAAATATAGTACAGATATACAAGTTATTTATATATAAATATAACATATATGATAAGAATTTTATAACTTTAACATTTTTCCGCTTCATATGTGTTCCTCTCATTATGGTTGACTCTTTATCAGAAACGTCAATCTTCTTATATTGATTCATTAGTGACTAGAAGATGAATGAATCTGATATACATTTTACGAAGAAACAATTTTATATTCATACATGAATAATTGTATATTAAACTTATATTTATGGTATATTCACACTAAATTATGTTACATTCATATGTGAATAGAACATGTATAACTAAGTTTTGTTATATTCAAATGTGAATTTAATGTATATAACTTAGTTTTGTTTGTGTTCAGTAGTAAACAAAACATATCAAAATCTAATCATATATGAATGTAAAATTTCATTCATACATTTATCTTGTTTTTCCATTGGAACGTTCTCTTTTGAAATTGGTGATCGATCTTGAGTATATCCATTTTATGTTATTCATATATGAATGTGATATATATATATATATATATATATATATATATATATATATATATATATATATATATATATATATATATATATATATAAACCATATATAGTTATTCATTTATGAATTTAGGCATTCAATAGTTTTTGTTAATATAAAACATATCTAGATTGAAGTATTCATGTGCGAATAGAACAAAATTATAGCAAAGATATACAAGTTATTCAATGAATATAATAGATATGATAGGAATTTTATACATTTGTCATTTTTCTGCTTCGAACATGTTTCTCACATTGTGGTTGACTGTTTATCAGAAACGTCAATCTTCTTACCTTCACTCATTAGTGAGTAGAAGATAAATGAATTTGATATGCATTTTACAAAGAAACTATTTTATATTCAGAAATAAATAATTGAATTATATATATATATATATATATATATATATATATATATATATATATATTCATACGTTGTATTCACATATGAATGTATATGTTATATTCATATGTGAATAATGCATATCACAAGAAATTATGTTCTATTTATATGTGAATATAACATATATAACTTAGTTTTATTTGTGTTCAGAAGTAAACAAAATCGATCAAAATAAATTAATCTTCAGTATCTTCATTTTCTATTGTATATTTAAGTAAAATTGCATGCAAATACTGTCAATCACATATGAATAAAGTTAATCACATCTAAATAAAATACCAATTTTATTTACAATTTTCTTTTTTTTTTTAAAATTTTTTGTTTATATATATGCTTGACTCTTGGTGTTGTTTCTCTAAGGATAAGTAGTTAATATTAGTAGAAAGTCTGTAAAACCTCAGTAGATTAGGACAACATAAGCGAAATGTGAAGCAACGTTTATATATTAACTAGAAAAGTCGTGAATAAATATGAAAAATGAAGAGAATATGTAAAATCATTTATAAATCAACTAATAATGCACGCTTATTACAAAAGCTTCAAGTAAATCAACTAATAATGAAGGAGAATTACGGAAATGTATGAGAATTACGAAATTTTAAGTAAATAACATAGTATGAAGAATAAATAGTATAAATATAAAATTTTTAGTTTTAAATCAACTAATAATGAACCATGATTATGAAATTTCAAGTAATCAACTAATAAGTTTATAAATGATGACAAATCGTTAAAACTCGAAGAAAAAAAACGACGATGATTACCTTTCATAGTCAATAGGGACGAAATAGTTTCATTTAGGTTTTTGTTGGAAGACATTTCCTTCGATTTGTTCTTCGCGGCACCGATTTTAGAGTTTTTGTTCAAAAACGGTGAATAAATCGTTCTGCAGATGGTTTTCGTGTTATGAGGAAAGAATGTTATGTTCAAAGAAGGAAATGATGGTTTTGCTGATGAGATTTCATGTGAGATAAAGTTACCTTTTGGATTATTTACAAGGTTGCCACAGTGTGTTTATGAGTTTTTAGCTCATTAAATGATTGGCTGATAATTATTCGTCTATTTCAATCTTTTTTTTCTCCATTGAACAATTTCGTCTCTCTCTCTCTCTCTCTCTCTCTCTCTCTCTATATATATATATATATATATATATATATATATATATATATATATATATATATATATATATATATATATATATATATATATTATGAATGAATTATGTGCTAGTAGTAAAGTACAAAGTGGAAAAGGAAAATGTCAAGATCTAATATATTAAGTTAGAGGATTGTTTTCATAGATACTCACATGCCACTACGTGCCACTTTATGTTCATCATTTACAACCACACCCATTCACATTAATTTACACATGTTTATATTCATTGCTAAATAACGCCTACCATTCCATAACCACTTACCGGTATTCGACGCTCATGGCACTCTTACCAAATGGCATCTTTTTCTTGCTTTACTTATATATATATATATATATATATATATATATATATATATATATATATATATATATATATATATATATATATATATATATATATATATATATATATATATATATATATATATTGTGTTGATGCACCGAATTTTATACTCATATAGTTCGTGAAGTTGAGAGTTCGATTCACTTAAACTATTTCTTGTGGTGTTAGATGTGGAAATTTTTTCCTTGAAAATCACTATGAAACTTTGTTTGTCCTGTAAAAGAGTTTGAATCCAGTTTGCTTGCTGAAATATTGTAAGTAAACTTCCGTTTAATTCGTTTCTTGTTTCCTCAATGTTTTGACTTTCACCTTGATTTTTTATTAACACAACATTTTTCTTTATTTAAATTATAATCTTTTTCAATACGAATTCCCATAT